CCTTAGAGATAGGGTGAGGAGCTCAGTCACATGGGAGGAGCTCGGAGTAGAGCCGCTACTTCTCTACGTCGAGAGGAACCAGTTGAGGTGGCTCGGGCATCTGTTCCGGATGCCTTCTGGACACCTCCCTGGGGAGGTGTTCCGGGCACGTCCCACCGGGAGGAGGCCCCGGGGAAGACCCAGGACACGCTGGAGGGACTATGTCTCTCAGCTGGCCTGGGAATGCCTTGGGGTTCCCCCGGATGAGCTGGAGGAGGTGTGTGTGGATAGGAAAGTCTGGGCATCTCTGTTTAGACTGCTGCCCCCGCGACCCGGCAAAGGATGAAGCGGAAGAAAATGGATGGATGGATGGATGGATAGTTAGTTGGATTAATCTCAAACCTGCAGAACACACTTCTCACTAATACAGGTTGGAAAAAGGGGTTGGATAAAGCAGAGGGTTGTGTGTGTTTAGATTTGTACATCACTTCAAATGACAAATTAACTGAATCTTGAATTGATAATCATTAGGATCAAGATTCCTCGACACTTCAAAGTTTAATACATTTTCTTTACATCAAACGCTTTTCAGGTGTCTCTGCACATTGGGCCGAATCAGGCGAGAGAGAGAGACCAGAGAGTGAGACTAGAGTGAGACTTGAGAAAGAGACCAGAGAGTGAGACCAGAGAGTGAGACCAGAGACCAAGGACCAGAGAGCGAGACTAGAGAGACACCAGATAGAGACACCAGAGAGCGAGACTGAGAGACTTGAGAGAGAGACCAGATAGAGAAACCAGAGAGTGAGACTAGAGAGAGAGAGACCAGCGAGTGAGGCCAGAGAGCAAGGACCAGACAGAGAGACTAGAGAGAGAGACCAGAAAGAGAAATGAGACAGAGACCAGAGAGAGAGATCAGAGAGAAAAAAAACTGAGAAAGAGACCACAAAGAGAGACCAGGGAGAGACCAAAGAAAGAGACTAGATAGAGACCACAAAGAGAGACCAGGGAGAGACCGGAGAAAGACTAGAGAGGGTAACTGCTTTGTTGCTGTGTTGTTCTCATCTCAATCCCTTTGAAATGTGTTTGAGAGTGGAATGAATAACAGTTTTCTTTCATTATCACCAATCTTTGATGTGCTCCAGAGAACGGCCCGTTTTGGGGTCACAGCGCTTTGATGTTAAATGAATTTGTGAGGATTTTAAAAAGTCGAAGCAAGCAGAAATCATGTTTATCTCTCAAACAGGAATATGTTAGACTTCTAAGCCGCGCTACTACTGTTTATGTTCATGGATTAAATTATCTGCTGAAATATTTTCCCTCACACGTCGTCTGTGCAATAATTTGAATCTAATGTCGGAATGTCATCAGTGCTGCTAACATGTGCAGATGTTTACAGACAACGTTTGTTTGTAAAACCTCAGGGAAACAGAAGTCCGGGCCTGTGTTGACAGCTGAAGTCAGACCAGGTGGAGTCACCGCGGGACTCACATCTGCCGTGGGTAGGGTTGCCAACTTGAGAATAGAAAATATGGGACAACATTTGGGGGGATCGGGTTGAGCACTTTTTAGTTGTCCTAATTTCAATCTAAACAGGAATCATAGAGTTTCATATTCACGGTTTTTAGAATGTAATTTATTGACTACATATAAATAAAACAAATCCGTTTCAAAAATGAAACAAAAAACAGGTGTAACTCTTTGCCTGGTAAAGGATTTAATGCTTGCTTTTTATTCATAACAAACATTAAAACAAATATTGAGAATTTGGTGAACACTCAATATTCAAATTTAACCCTAAAAAATTTAAACAACAGACAAATGCTGAAAACGAAGGTTGTAGTAGTCGATATAGTCATTATTTATGCATGTTACTGTAAAGACCATTTACTATTAATACAATTTTTGTTAGAAACAAACAAGAAAAACATATGCATTCATTTAAAATATAAAAAACCCATAAATGTGGAAATGAAAGTCCGTAGCAGATAGATATGGTCATTATTGATATTGTCTGAGAGTTTAGTGCGTGTACATGGCTTCAGTTAAAGCTATTGTTCGTTCACAAAGCTGGTCTTGACATTTGTTGACACTCCCTTAGCACTTTTCTCAGCGCTTGCAGAAAATTGGATTCAATGGATTCCTCTGCATTAAAATACTTAATTGGATTTGAAAAATCAATGTATGGGTGATCATTTTGGCACAATTACTTTTGTTCAACAACATAGCTTTCATGAGCTATTGGCCGCGGAAGTCAGAATATGGAAATGTGACGCGAACTTTACCAAACTTCAGCCATGATGATGCTGCGGGCGTGGGCAATGCAAGCACTTGTCATGGGATCAAGCCTGCGCCCCCTTTGACCCTGATTGGCCGAAATGTAGACGCTTAAAAGTCTCATATGAATGTGCACATATCTCAAGCTCATTTCATTTCATTTTCAACCCCTTTGTCCATTTCTGGGTCAGGGGGGTGGCAATGTGAGCTGCCACCCAACGCTCATAGCACCAGTCCCTCGCTGATCTTCTGCAGGGGGTGAGTCCACAGGAATATGGCTGCTCCGTCAATTGTGAAACAGCCTTGATCTTTCAGCGGGGGGCTTCAGGCAATGTGGGGTTAAGTGTCTTGCCCAAGGACACAACGACAGCAGTCATCAGTGGGAGCAGTTGGGGTAGGTCCCATGGTGGGAATCGAACTCAAGACCTTCAGGTGCAAAGGCCAATGCTCTACCTCTACCAACTGAGCTACTGTTGCCCCTATCTCAAGCTCTTTAGAAGTAAAATGAACTTTGAATTGAGCCGATAACGTTGGCCATAACTCTGAATGTTCCATGCAGTGAATTATTACATGTGTTAAAAGCTTCTATTGGTTTTTCATTCAATAAATAAAGTGCAATTTATCATCTTGTGTTCTGTGTGTTTCTAATCCATTCTACAGCACACTCATCCATCATGCCTTGAGTGAAGAAAATACAATCTCCAACTTTAGCATAATAAAGAAGCCGGTACATTATCTTGCATGAATACTTGTATATAGTTGTATGTTTACATCTGTACGTGTTAGCAGCATGAGGCTCTGGGACACAGTGACAGTGACACATGAAGCCAGGCATAAAACTTCAGCTTAAGTCTTCGACTTTGACAGAACTTTTCAGATTCCCCTCAGAATGACAGTCAGGCTAGATTAGTCCTCCGTCTGAGGCTGGGGTCCGGTTTGGGGCAATGCTGGGAAAGAGCGTCTCTATCTTTGAAGCTAACAGGCCGTGTGCCGTGGTTTACAAGCTTTTTCTGGAGCTTTATGTGGCAGCGATGGCTCTGCATATATTTCAGGAGGAAATGAGGTCATGATTGGTTCCTGGATGTAGCACGCACACACGCACACGGCTTTTGTAGAGGCATGAGGTCGCATACTTAAACACTGACACCTCTAAACAGATGCTGCTAATTTATACGGATGATCATTCATCTCGAAACAAACACACGCCCCCACACAGCTCCGGCTTGTTGCTCCTGTTCCTGCGTACGCTACACGGTCTGTGAATGAACCGCTGCTGTGCCCTGCTGTAGTCAATATTCAATCCAAAGTATTGCTAAAACACTCATTTAGATTCATTTGCCATTTGCAGTAAATCCACATTAGAATACATGTGCAAGAGACCCCAGTGTGCACCAGACAAGGACATGAATAAAACAAGCTAAGAAATTATGGGGAAACCGGAGCACCTGAAGGAAACCTACGCAGACATGAGGAGAACAACTCCACACAGAAAGGCCTAGAGGTGGAACAAACCCAGGACCTTCTTGCTGTGAGTCATAAGAGGAAAGAAGCTGGAACATGGCTTTTCCAGGGGCCAGAAGAGTCACTGATTCATCTAAGAGTCTGGATTCAACTCAATGTATTTTCAGACCTGCCACTCAATGCTACTATATTCAGTCCCTCTGATCCTTCTGCAGGTTGTGGGTCCACGGGCAGATGGCTGCTCCGTCAGCGATAACACAGCGGGGGCTTCAGGCAGAGTGGGGTTAAGTCATGGATCTATTATAATAACTGGATAGGGTATTACTAGCTTGGAGCTGAAGGACCCATGTGCTTGTGGGATTCTCGCGGCACTGCAGACTAAACGGAACTAAATTCACGCGGGCTACCCAGAAAAAAGTCCCATAGAACTCAATGTAAACTAAGCTCGACCTCAGCTGACAGAGCATCAACAACTTTCATAAAGGTCAGATGTTGTGGGGATTTTAGTGTCCTCTGTCATCCTGAACTTATTTTCTTCTTAAATTCTTCAGTTTTCTTTAAATCCACACTTTAGTTCCACAAACTCTGCTCCTTTGGTCCCCGCTCCAACTCTCGCTCTAACTCTGATCAGCATTTCTGGTCAAAGCGCAGCTGAGCCCCTCTGTGTACATGCACGAGAGCCACACACGCGTATATGGCGCAACGCATCATGGGAGCTCGTCCACTGCGCAGAACCGAGAGGACCAGACGATGCCCAAATACAGGCGATTTCCCATCGATCTATGCAAGTTCCAGGCGGCTTCCGCTAAACTTTCGGCGCCCATGCCGGCACATGCGCCACTGAGCACAAACCAATCATTTGAATACGGCGCCATCTTGGATTGCCGGGGCTTGGGTGAAGTGGACACAGATGAGGTAGGTCTCGTGGAGGGCTCAAACCCACGGCCTTTAGGCCCAAAGACCAATGCTTTACCAACTGAGCCACCGTCGCCCCAACTCCAAACAATCACAATGTTACAGTTTCTGCCTCTGTGTGAAAACTTGAAGCATCTCATCAAAGCTGGATGAGAAATCTTTGTTCAGAGAATTGGGAAGAAGGTTAAAAACAAAAAGTCTATTCATCCAATCATTTGAAGTTGTAAAAATAAGGAACACACAAATCCAAACCATGTTCCTTTTGATCTGTTTTGATCTGTGTTACAACCTCTCCCAAAGTGTCTTCTACCTTTGTGACAATCCCTGCTTTTTACAAATCTTCAAAAACAAAATCTTGATACAGAAACAGCTCATTTCTCCCTGAACAGAGCCATAATCACTGGGGATCTGTTCTTTCCTACGTGTCTTTTATTGCGTCTGATTCGAGGAGTACGAGAGCCTCCGTGAACTGCAACAAAGCACACGGCTGTTCGAGTGGCCTTTCCCAACAGTGGCTGCTTTGTGGCGGCTCTGGCTGGGGATGGAATGTCCTCCTTCAGTGGAATGAAGGGGACCGGGACAAAGACAAAGATGATGCTGATGATGGAGAGGAAAGAATCCATCGGAGAGTGGAGGCTCAGACAGATGGAGTGGGCTCTGTCTGCTCCGCTCTGACAGGAAACAAAACAGCAGCTTGACCCCGTGTTATGGAACAGTTATTTGGATATGTCTATACAACACTTTTAGCACATAGCAACAGTTATATATTAAAGTGGAACTCGGATATGCGGTTCTATACCCACTTTTTAATTAAGTCAAAGTTTGAAATTTTATACTTGCTTCTTTATTATGCTATGGTCAGAGATTTTCAACTTAGCTCTTGCTTGGAGATTTTAGATAAGTTTCCTTATTATACTGAAGATTTGATACTAGCTTCTTTGTTGCGCTAGCCTGGTCGTACGACACCATAGTACAAATTACATTTCGTACTAAGGTCTGGAGTTGCTCCATTGGGCTCCGTTAACAGGTGGGAGCGGTTAACTCCTTTTGCAAATTTAAATGATTGAATCTTAGTTCACCGTGACGTATGTTATGAGCCCGAGTGAGTCGTTAGCATTTAGCCTAGCCATCTCCGTTGCCGCTAACGGAGCCCGTGGGGAGTAGCGCCACAATCTTTGCTAGCAATGACTTTTGCTAAACATTCCTCTTGCTCCAGCTTCAATTTCTTGATAGTAAAATAATCTGGTCTGGTTCAATCGCATTCTTCGCCATTGCCAAACTACAACCTGCCCGTTCGGTGCAAACTTTTCACGTCACCAACAACTAACTAAAACACCCGCCTGCCGCGCTCTCTGATTGGTCGGATGGAATTCAATCGATTTTAATCTCAAACACAGGGACCAGACCCAGACGTTACATGCAGGGAAATGATGATTGAGTGGAGTGTACGGATCGCTAAGGCCAGGCTATTGTTGCGCTAAAGTGAGAGATTTTATACTTGCTTCTTTATTATGTTTAAGTTAGAGATTTTATACTTGCTTCTTTATTACGCTTAAGTTAGAGAGATTTTATACTTGCTTCTTTATTATGCCAAAGTTATAGATTTTACTATACATCCGCTCACTTCAGTTTAGAGGTCAGTTCTGGCTATTTCACCATTGCACTTTCCAAGACATAAAAGCTGCGATGACTTACGGCGGACAGAGTTTAAAGAAGGATGGAGAAGGAGCTCAAAAAGAAGCAGGAAGATGAACCAGAGTGTGATGAACCCGCTGGACCGTTAAACTGGTTGTCGGAGACGGCTTTGTGCCAGCATCAGTCTCACGTCAGGATTTACAGCAGGACGGAGCCCCCATGCTATAAAACAACCGGGTCTCCATGACGACCGTTAACACTAGGACGTCCAGAGCAGTCGAATTGACAGCTTAAATGGTTAGAAGGGGGCAACAATGGCTCAGTTGGTAGAGTGTTGGCCTTTGGGTCTGATGGTCGTGGAATGATCAAATAAAGAAATAAATAAAGGGGATGTTAATGAGTGGATAAATGTCTGTAACTTTTTGGTTTTCATAACTTTGTGACTTTTACTGTATCTCCCATAGTTTCTTGTAGTTTATTACTGTCACTAACTTAACCCTTATATGTTCACTCCTTGAAGAAAGCCATATTTTTGCTTTTTTTGATAAGTGGGAGAACTAATAACACAAATTTGTTATATGACTTTTTTCTTTTTCTAGACCTTTACCAAATGTAAAACTAAGTAATGGAGGTAGATTTCAATTCAAAGCTTCAAATAGATATAGTGACTCAAAAAAGTGATCTACAAAATGGTTGAGGAAAAGATCTTGACATTTCTCCATGGTTTCGAAATGGTTTTGGGCCCTGCCACAGCAAAGGCTCGGTCTGCTCTGGTTTTTAGTCTAGACCTGGGACAGTGCAAAAGAAGTCGGTCGGAGGACTTCTTTTGCAGTTGGACTTTAACTTTCAGGTTTGGGTAAACTGTGAGTGTAAAACATGACATTTTTGCATTGGCGCCCCCTACAGACTGAGTCAAGTATTCCATGGGGAGAATGAGGCTTAGTTTTTTCAAAACGATTGACATTTTGTAAATACTTCTGTAAACACTGAATCAAAAAGTCAATCAGACCCATGGCTTTTTTTCCCCCTGTTTCCGTGACGATGACAATTTATTTCCATTTAGTGGAAATCCATCTTATTTCCAAACGGAGGATTACATATCTACACTCAAACTATTGCCTGGACTCAAATATGAAACTGGCCTAACCTGAAGTGGTCTGTGTTCAAGGTAAGACCATAACAAACATATGGGCTTTTTAAATACTTTTGCGTTTCGTATGAACAAACAATGAAACATATTCTGCCATAACCAAACAGGCGTGTACATTTTTCAGCTGCTGTTCCAGTATTTTTGCCTCCAGTTGTCTTATCTTAACAGCTGCATCTGTCTTTGCCTCCTGGATTTGATAGCTGAATATGTCGCGGAGATCTTGAATGTGCTTCTTTGCAGATTCGTCCAGGTCACTTATCGGCCCTCTTGGGTTTTCCACCTGTTTTTTGATGCTAACCTCTTGCTTCTTCTTGCCTTCAGACAGTGCTGTCAGCTCTGTATTTGGTCTCTAACATCTCTCTTGCCACACTTTCTAACTCTCTTCTTTCCTTTTCAGACGATTCCAAGGATTGTCTTAACCTTTGGATGTCTTCCAGCTGGCTTTGCTGAATCCTTTCCATCTCTGCACGTTCTTCCTCCCACTCTTCTACAGTGTCGTCGGCTTCATCATACACCTCCTCAGCCCAGACATCACTTTGCAAAGTATTCAGTCTAATCTCGGCTTTGAGTTTTGCTATGTACTCCTCCATCCCGGCAATAATAGAGCTTTTCTTGTCTGAGTTGGTGCAACACTTTTTCAACCTTTTCTGAGTTCTGGCCAGCTGCTCCGTCTTCATCTGTTTGCTTTCCTTCATTTGGCAGATAGCCTTGTCTTTCAGCTTCATCTTCTTCTTCAGCTCTTGGATGGTGTGATCTGAGGTCCTCTTGGCCTCCTTCACAGCCTCTTCTACTTCCAGAGCATTGACTTCATTCATGTACTTATTTTGTTCCATGAGAAGTCTTTTCTCCGTTGCAGCGTGTACGTTTTTCAGCTGACTTTCCTGATCTAGAATTCTTGTTTTGAGCTCTCTAATCTTGGCTTTGACTTTGGTGTTTTCTTCCTCCGTCGTTGCAATGACAGAGTTTTTCATGAGGATATTTGCGCTACACTGCTCTAACTCTTTCTGGGTCTTGGCCAGCTGCTTTTTCTCCTTCTCTTTGTCTTCTGTCAGATTGCTGATCATTTTGTTTTTCAGCTCGAGCTGCCTCCCCAGCTCTTGTATGGTGTGATTTGAGGTCCTCTTGACCGCCTCCACTGCCTCGTCACACACCACCTCCAGAGCCTTTACCTCATTCATGTATTTATTCCTGGCTGTAAGAAGTCTTTTCTCTGATGCAGCGTGTCCATTTCTCAGCTGACTTTCCAGATTATGAATGTTCGTCTTAAGCTCTCTATTCTCGGCTTTGACTTTAGTGTTTTCTTCCTCCATCGCAGAAATAACAGAGTTTTTCATGAGGACATTTGCACTATACTCCTCCAACTTTTTCTGGGTCTTGGCCAATGTTGCCTTTAACTGAGAAGCTTCTGTCCCCAGTTTTGTTTCTTCCTCCTGCATCTGCGTCTTCAGCTGGTCTACGCAGCTGTTGGCGTCCAGTATCTGAGTGTTCAACAGGTCTATTGCCTCCAGGTTCCTGTCAAACATCACCTGTTTCTCGTCCTGGAGCTTGATGATGATCGACATATACCGTTCAGCTTCTTCTGCATTAGTTACTTTCAAGGCCTGAATCTCCTCGTGAGCCTTCTGCAGTTTTCCCGTTGTTTCACTCAGAGCCTCTAGGAGATCTGTTTTTTCCTGGACAGTATTCTCCAGTTGGCGTTGGGCAGAAGTGGATCTTTCTGAAGCCTGCAGTAGAGCCGCCTCCAAGGCAGACCTCTCTCTCTGGAGCTGGATCACCTGCTGCTGCTGTTGTTGACTCTCTTCCTGATGAGTCTTCTCCAGCTTGCTCCTCTGTTGCTTTTCTCTCTTCAGATTAATTACCAGACTCTGGTGTTGTTCCTCCAACTCCATGAGGTCGGATTCAAGCATTTCTATCTTCTTCGATTTTCTCCTAAAGCACGACATTTTCCTCCGTTGTGTTTCTTGCGGTTAAAACCTTGGTCTGACTCCACCTGAAGTCAAAGATATGGGTTCCTGTTTGGGACTTTCTCCACACACAGACACTTGCACTGTGGACTTTGTAGCTTTATGACATCACATAGACCTTTATGTCATGTTGCCGATGGCTCATTATTTCGGTGCTGGAATGCGGCAGGTTCAGTTACCCTGGTGATTTTGGCAGCCATCTTACGGATTTTGTTACCATGGCAATTTTGGCAGTCATCGTGCAAATGTTGGCAAAGTAGAATTCCTCACTGAAAATACTAGAAATTAAGAAGTGTGGACTCAGTGGGACCTGTGCTGGAGAGAAGGATGAGGGCTCTAATACAGGGCATCCGGGGTATCTCCAGACACCCTCTGCATGACACTATAGCCGCTCAGAGGAGTAATCGAAGCAACAGGCTCCAACAGGATCCTTTGTTTCTTTGGCTGTCAGACTGGACAACAAACCTGGATGAGTCTTCTGCTGCTGGACACCTGAATTTCTCCTACGGGGATCAATAAAATATTGGTCTATCTATCTAAACAATGTTAATTTTTCAAGACCCCATCATGATCCTTATCCTTACTTGAAATAAAATGTTTGGTGGACGTTGCGCCAAATACGGGGGTGTGGCTCTCATGCACGTGCACAGAGGGGCTCGGCCGCGCTTTGACCAATCAGAGCTGCTGATCAGTGTGGATTTAAAGAAAACCGGGGGATTTAACAAGAAAAAAATCTCAGGGACAATGACAAGGGACACTACAATTCCCACCAAATCTGATCTTTATGAAAGCTGTAGGTTCTCTGTCAGCTGAGGTTGAGCTGTTTTAGTTTACATTGAGTTCTAATGGTAACATTTCTGAGTAGCCCACGTGAATTTAGTCTTGTTTAGTCTGCAGTTCCGCGAGAATCCCTCAAGCACATGGGTCATTCATTTCTAAGCTAGTGTAAGGTTATTTAAAGGGCACCCAGTCGAACATTGACCAGCAGACCAGGATACGTAAACATGCCCTCCTGAGCATGACCCATCTTGAGCCACATCTAAGGGACGACCAGGTCAACCAGAGGACACCATCGGTCACCGAGACCATAAGTGTCCACCAGGGCAATAAACTGAGCCCCAGAATAAACATCTTTGTACCTTTCTGCCCGCTAGAGATCAAAGATCACAACTCTGCTCTCACTCCCGGGACTTTCCTGTCCCTGGACAATCAACGACTCACCCACGGCGTTCTGGCGCCCCCCAGGGGACACTGAACACTATCACACCCGGGACGGACATTTTAAACCAGCACTCCTGGATTCATTATTCCAATAATCTGTACTGTGCCCTACATGTGTGTATCATTGTCAAGTAATGTAAATGCGGTGTGTGCCTGTACATGTGTTATGAATGTCTGTATTAATCCTGCGTTTTGCCATTATAACATGTCTGTTGTGAAGGATGTCCAGGGAGGCGCACAAGGATGACGCCACGGACGCGCCCCCTTTGACCACAACAAAACCGAAGCGCGGACCCACAGACTGCCTCTTGGTTCTCCCTGTAATCACTATAACAACCCTCCCTTCAGCGTTCCGCGAGTACGTGTCTTCTACTACGACCCGCGCCTGTAACGCACTGAGGCCTCTCCACTTCGCAAGCACAGCCCTGATACCGCTGTCGGAGACCACGAACTATTCCATCATCAGCCTCTTTCTGGCTCTGGACCCTACGCACGCGACGCATTCCGGATTGCGCTGTGTACGCGTGGATCAAAGTTGGACTGGACCCGCTGGCTTTGTGTCTCCCTCCTGCCCGGACAAAGGAACACGTGGACTGCCCTCCATCGTCATTACCCCTTTGGACTTCTCAAAAGTAAGACTGTTCTTTGTTGGAGTGTGATTTAAATGATATGTATGGCAATCTTTACTTAATGTGACCAGAAAACCCCTTTTCGTTGATATTTTCTATTTTCATTTTTGTAGTCAATAAACCCACGTTAATTTTAACTCATTCATTTCAGCGTCGTGTTTTTAAATCTCGGATATCCCTGACCAATTTTCGTACTCAAAACCATCAGATTTATGATACTGGTATCGAGGCAAATATCACTGGGTCTGTCGTAGACCCTCAAACGTCTACTGGTGCCCAAAATAAATAAGACAGATCCATTGGTGGAACGGCGAGTTTCTGATCCGGAGACTAGCCGATCCACACTACTAAATTTAAGCTACTGTACACTACTACATTTTATCATCCTACACTAGTAATAACCTATCAAGTTATTATAATAGATCCATGGTGCAGGAAGGAGACTTGACACTGATTGGTTAATTCCACAGGTTCATTTTCATTGACTTAAGCAACTGTGGGCCACCAATGTAGAGTTTGAAGGCCTAGAGCAGTGGATCTCAAAGTGTGGTGGGCTCCCTCTAGTGGTATGCGAAAGAATCACTGAAAAAAAAGGGACCAGGAAAGTCCCATTGAGATTAAGAACCTCTTTTTTTTTCAAGGGAGTCCTGGACAAAAAAATCATAAAATTTCAGATTATACAGTCTTTTTGCAATATAATCCTTGTAGAAGGAGCAGCATATACAGAAGCTTTTTTCCCAGTTCTATGCGGGCAAAAGAAACAGAGAGCTACAAAAGATCAGTTGATGGCAATCCATATGAACCAACATCTCTTTGTGAGAGTAAACGACAGATGTACAGTAGGTCCCATTTCGTTTTGTCGCCTTTCATGCGTGAATTGCACGAGGCTCACGCGCGAATCACGTGTCTTTTCTTTTTTTTCTCCCCAGTGACGCTGCAATGACCAAAACAACCACCAGGTGGCACTTGTGAGTCGCCTATGAGTTTCTGCCCCGCGCACATCGACAATCTGGTCAAAACGGGCAACTCCTTGTAGCAGGCCAGTCTCTGGAATAACCCGCAGACATTAAAACTACTGCATATAACGTAAACGTTTGCATCACGTTGGTGATCTTTCCAAAAAGAGAGAATATCGTTATGGAAAGAGAAACTATTGGTAATATAACGCTGAACGTTATCTGACTCAAACAGCTCCGCTGGTGTCTCCTCCCACTCAGAAAAAAAGCAGACGCCTTTTCTCTGGCATCTCTAACATTTATAATAAATACATAAATATAACAATCATAATGAAGATGCTTTCAAATAATTTAGCAAGCTGTAATTCATTTATTTTAACTCCACACGGCTCCTCCCCTGCCAAACTTCTCTCGCTGCTCTCTCCTCCGCAAACCACTAAATGAGGAAAAGGGAATATTCACTCAATCTATTTTGAATGTTACACATACAATATTAATATAGTCTAAGCACCTGTAGCCCGTGTATTTACCACAGACTGTAAGTATTAAAGTAATGAGGCCCCTGCTTTAGGCCTCTGCTGTGAGGCCCACACGTCATCAGTCTCGGTGCCTCTAGATCAGGGGTGCTCACACTTTTTCAGCATGCGAGCTACTTATAAAAGGATCAAGTCAAAATGATCTACCTACTACAAAAATGCAAATCATATATTTCAAAAAATATTCTTTATATCTACAATGTATGTTTATGTACATGAAAAACCGCATGAGCCAATATAGCACAACACAACACAATTACCGATGTACATTTTTTGTCATTACCCGAGTTTACTCTTATGACTTGCACTGAATTGAATCGGCCAGGGATGCATAGTCCGGAAAATTGGTGGTAACTCGCTGACAAGTTTGTCGTGGTTTAGCTTTCCTGCACTGAGCGCGGTTGTTTGCGCATGTGCAGTCACCTAAGTGTCAGTAAAACATTACTGAGTAAAACACAGATGTCATTTGACTGTGGTGCCATGTCCATGTGCCATGCCTGTTTTTTTTTTAAATCCAAATATTTCCCCTCCTCAGTTTATAAAATAATTTGCATCCACACATCTGCGTTATCAATCACATTCGTAACATTCCAAACATGTGCGTCTCTTACGTCCTGTCCTGCTTTGGGGAAAAACACAGAAGTGGGCGGAGCTTTGATGCAGACGCCGGTAACGGCACTTTTACAGTCATAGAAGACACTCAGAGTAAAGAGTAAGACGTATGTTTACAAGCACTGACCCCGTCCTCAGCCCTGATTTAGTCCTGGTTTAGTCCTGGTTTAGTCCTGGTTTAGTCCTGGTTTGGTTGTTTTCGAGCGTGAGTCCCCGCGATCACTTTGCTGCTCTCTGATGTGGAGCGAGGATGTTCGCTGCTGCGAGCATCTCACAGCCAACAGTTTTTAAGGTAGTATGATCCATGCTTCAGTGATCAGAGGAATTTAGGGGGGTACTGTGGCGTGCGAGAACGCAAAACTCTGGTTATCTCTGTCTACACACAAATGCATTAACGGAGTTTTCAAAAATCTCCACTTTGCCCGGAGTTTTTTGTATATATTCGTTTAGAATGTGTAATTTTTTATTTATTTAATGCGATCTACCAATACTACCTTTGCGATCGACTGGTAGATCGCGATCGACGTATTGAGCACCCCTGCTCTAGATCACACGTCTGTCCTCGGGCTGGAGTGTTCTGAGGCTTTAAGCGGGGAGTCAGGAAGGAGCGATCCTGTTTGTCAGCATGATTTTTTTGTTTAACAGCCTCCCTGCGCGATTGCAAATGTACTCAAGGGACTCTCATACCGTGGCTCACATATATAATATTATATAGGGATCAGGAGCTTTCTGACCCGACCCACCCGCACCTGACATGACTCATATTTTTGAGGCATCCAACCCGCCCAAAACCGCGGGACCCGCGGGTTGACTGCGGGTTTCGGGCCGACCCGCGCATCTCGCATGTCCTGTTCAGGGCCGCAGGAGCAATTGTCCATTATTTTAATTGGACTCACTGTAAAAAAGAAAAAGTTAGTTCAACTCAAAATTTCAAAGCAACCAGCTGCGAAGGATTTTTTAGTTGAAGGCATTAACTAAATTCTTCAAGTTTTGAAGAACTACACTTATTAAGTTGTGTCAGTTAAGTTTTCCAAGTTCTGCCAACTAAGTGTTTAAATTCAAGTTACTGGAAATTACTCAGATTACTGTCCCCTACAATAACTTACTATTTTGAGTTTAAATTAGCCCCCACATTAAAAGATCATGATGTTTATTTATATAGCGCATTTCATGGACCAAGGTCACTTGGGTAGGGGAAACTTGAGCACCCGGAGGAAACATATGCAGACACAGAGAACATGCTAAT